TTGGTATAATATCCGCTTCTTTTAAAGCATCAGGCCAAGTTTCATTAATAATGCACTTATTTACAGCAAGTGCAAGTAGTTCAGATACGTAGCGAATTAATGATTTTAATAATAATGAATTAATTCCATCAACTCCTCCTTTTTTGTTTTTTAGTCTGCCAATTATTTTCTTTACTTCTTGTTCATTTGTAAAATCTAAAAATATTGTTTTCGGGTTTATTTTTGGGAGGTTGAGCGTTGCATTTTGCGGTTGTATTATATTATTGCTAAGTTCCGTTCCAATTTCACAAAAAAATGTGTTCATTTTGTTTGCAATTTCTTCTGGATTGGTGATTCTATTATTTTTGTCCGTGATGTAATCAATAGTTTTGTTATTTTGAGTATTTCTCCCTAGTTTGTTGTTGACAACTGACCATAATTTCTTAGGATCATGTTGCACCATTTCTATGATTTTTTTATCGTAATTTTCTTTTGCTATTGTAATTATCTTATCTAAAATTTTGATAAAATTTTTATAGTTATTTTTTTTTGTTGTATCGTGAGGATTATATTTCCATTCAATATATAGGTTTTCTTTAGTTTTACATGAGTTTATTATGCCTTTGGTGATCCATTTTTTTCTTGGCTTCAAGCTATTAATAGTTTTGTTCGTAACATTTTTCTTTTCTGCCTGTTTAAGGCAATATTGTATTTTCATGATTAAGTTATTGATAGATTGATTTGTATCATTAGTTTCACTATTTTCATTCCAATTTATAGTTTGAGCTATATGTTGAAGTTTTCGGTAATTAATTTGTTTTTTATTATGTGAGTGATTTATGCTTTTTGTTTGGTTCTGCAACGCCATTATTAGTGGATAATGGTCATTGAACGGAGTGTTGACGTTGAAAGTTTTGTATGCGTTATTTTCCATTTTTATAAAAAAATTATCAATGCATGTTCCACTGTTGTTGTTGTCCAGCGAAGGTCTGGTAAACGTATTAAATCCTGGATGGTGTCCTTTTTCCATTAACATTTGCAAGAATTCTTGATCCCAAGGATCTTGGCTTAAAATGTCGCAGTTGAAATCGCCTATTAATATTGAATTTTTTTTCTTTATGTGTTGAGTTATGTATGTTTTGATCGATTGTATGAATTGTGGTTTGTGTAGGTCATATGATCTGTATATAGCTGCTAACAGTATAGTTTTTTCATTTTCTAACTGTATTGTAGTTTGTAAGATTTTTAAATTTTGTATTTGAATTATTTCTGTTGATTCAATTATGTCGTCTCTGATATAGGTCACCACGCCATCAGCCTTAAATACTACTATTGTTATAGTACATACTGTATCCTTCAATATTGAAGACTAGGAAATGTTGTAAATTCCATGTTTCAGTACATATTATAACACTTGGTTTTTTTTGTAGGTTGTTTATAAATGTTAGAAGTTTGGTGTAATTGGCATTCAAACTTCTGATATTAACACAGATAATAATTTCCTTTTCTGTTATTATGTGCTCATTTAATTCATCAGTGTTATTAATAATAATTTCGTTGCTAATATTTTCATCGATGGGATGCATTTTTATTTGTATTTCGTATTATTGTTACCATGTAAGTTGAGCGAGGATATGGAGGCTAATGACGATAATGATGCACCGCTTGATAGAGCAGGACGTTAATTGTTGGTTTTTCTGCAGCCGGGTGTTCTATTTTTCCGAAGTAGCGTTGGTGTCTTGGCATTATGGGGTAGTCCGTCATTTCAATGTATTTGTTTATTTTTGTTTTTAAAATTTCACAAGATTGGCTGTCAATTGCACTGTGTTTAGTATCAAATTTAGTTTGTAACGGAGAAATCCGGCCGTACCCGTCTGGGTTGCTCGCGACCGTCCGCACAAATTATTTATTCGGGGATTCGGGAAGCAAAAGACGTTCCCACGACTGAATAACGCGTCGAGCATAAACACGTTAAACGCACAGATTCGAAGTCGGGATGAGGAGTGATACAGCGGCGAATAAACACAACAGCGGATTAATACGCTGGTCTTTAATTGTCAACAAACGATTACAATACGGCAACCTCGGACTTACACACTACGAGCGGTACAATAACAAACGCGAACGCGAAGGTGAATCGGTGGCTGGTCAGCCTGCCGATTCCCTTATAAAAACTAGATATTATACAAATGCCCGACAAACACTTTTCGCGCATAGGCTATTAACGAGTAGCCAGCAGGTCTGCTGTGCTACCAACCATAGACTGACGCCCAAACATGCAAGAGAGAGAGAGACAAGAGAAAAGTACGGCACCGACCTCGACCTTCAGCCTCTCCGACGGCTGGAGCGCTCTGCACCGTGACGTCACTGGTATGCTCCCGACCGTATTGCTGGTATATTTGTTGTCGCCGCTATCTGTCCTCTGGCTCGTCCTCTCGCTCGCTCCGCAATATTGCTACCTCGATCTCAACCCGTTGCTCGTTGTTTCTGCCGCCTCCTCGTTGCTCGGCGCTGCAGCACGTCAAGTTCCTCGCGCGCTCGCCCGCGCACCTCGCCGGTTACCCGCACGCACCGGTGCCGGGTATCTTGTGGAACACGGCTGGGCGCGACCCAGCCTCACGCTCTATCACTCGTCCGCGCACCGGGCGTGTCTCCGGAATGAACAAAACGTCGGCGAGGTCGCGAGGCCAACCCGGAAAAAACCGTGACCTTCCGGTTTATCCGCGCGCGCGACTTTCTCTGCTCATTGCCTAGCAGAGACTCTCCAATTTTCCGCGGCGATCCGCAATTCGAGCGCGCTCTCTCTCTCTCTCTTTCTCTCTTCTTCTGCGCCATCTGCGTCGCTCCAGCAGTCAGCTCAGCCCGTGTTCAGCACCTCGCAAACAAAAGGTCCAAGCATGAGTGTGTGTGCCAAACGTACACCCTCTCAGCCTGGCGCGGCGCACGGACATTTGCGAGAGCTAAACGGACGAGATCGGCCTAGCCGAGATTCTCCGTCACAAGTTTTGTATTTAGTATTGTGGTATGTGCAATTAGGACATGTTTGTGTTTTATTGTTGCATTGACTACCAGTGTGATTACCGCCGCATTTGTAACACGTGGCTTCATTTTTACATTTGCTCCCACTATGTCCAAACCTAGCACAGTTATAATAAGGGCTTGTATTTATAATGTCATAGACTTTGCAGTTTTGGCAACCAACAAAAAGTCTGCTTTTATTCTCTCTAATGTGTTTGTACAAATTAGCTGATACCTCCATTATAACTGTCATAGTTTGCAATTTCTCATTAGTGTATGTGTGTATTACTTTACCTTTGTCATCATAATTGTGGAAATTTCTTTGGTTTATATTGACTCAATGTCTCGCATATTTTGTGTGAAAGATTTGCTGATGCCAGTAACTTTAACAGTTGGTTTCCTAATTTGCTCTTTTTCAATTTTAGCAAACGTGTGTATTTTTTTGTGTAATGTTTTTTCTATAGTGTTAATACTCTCTTCATTCATGCAGTTAATTATGACAGTATCGTTATTTACTGTTTTAATTTTTTTTGTTTGTATTGTTTTATCTTTGATAAGATAATGAGCTACGGTATTTTCTAAATTAGTGGTATCATTTTTATTAGTTCGTTTGATAATAAGTCTTGGTACCTTTTTTGACTTAGCCTTTGGTAAACTCAATGTTTCTGCATATGAATTTTTAAATATGTTATTTGGTTTATTTTTCTTTTCTTTTGCTAATAACTCATTCCTATTTTGCTTTTCTTTGATGAGAAATTCATTTAGTAATTCATTTTTTTCCTTTGTTTCTTTGTAGAGTTCTTTCAATAAGTTATTTTCAGCTTTTAGTTGTTGTATTTCATCTAATTCACTTACTTGTGTTAAATCCATATGTTCATCATTTTCATTCATTATTTGTTTCTCATGCACGAGCTCATTTAGTATTTCTTATTTTATTTCCTCTCTGCTTACAAGTTTGAATTGTGTTATGAAAGCACTAGCTTATTCACTTAAGTCCCCATATGGCAAGTTTGATGTTAGTGCAAAATTTGGATGCTCCTGGCATATTATGAATGAGCTGTTTATTAGTTTGATTGCATTTCCTGCATTGATTTTTGCTACTATTTCACTCCTATGATAGAAATTTCCACATACTAAACACACAACTGCTCCTACTTTTGTATTTGGATGACACTTGAAATGCTTATGTAGCGATGATGCGTCAGGCGGTTGCACTTCCGCACCGCTTGACGGCGACATCGCGACTCTGAAGTTATAAGTGATATAATTTTAATATTTAAATTACACAAAATTTACAATAAATTTACGGAAAATTTTTACATCAAAAAATCGCTTGTGATTAGTGGAATATTATTCAAAACAAAAACGATTAATTTAATTATCCAGTTTTGAATAATAACTAAAAAACGAATTTGTAATTTTCTCTTTTAGCCATTTAAAAATCAGCAAATTGGTAACAATCATTATCATTAATTTTATAGATATATACAGTCGAATCGCTATCTAGAAACGCAATTTTAATTGTTTAAATAAATTATAAATTTTTTATTTATTGATAACTCATTGTCAGTGAAAAATTAGTTATCAAAGTGTCAAATTCTTGTTTCTCTGTTTCAATACGTTACGAACGCAATTGTATATTCGAATTAGCAATATAATTATTTGTCGCAAAATGACTAACACTATTTACTTGTAAATTAATTTAAACTATCAAATACATATTTAATGACTATAATAACATGAAATTCGAGATTAGCGCATCAAAATTGACTAAAAAGTGCTTTTGCAAAATTGAATAAATAATGCCCTAACACATTTACATGTATCTGAGAAGAGCGCCTTCGCTCAATTACCGCTTTTCTTTAGTTTTTCTCGTGCACGACGGGTTGCTATTTTACAGTAGGAAAAGGGACAAATCAGATTGGACCGTTACACAACAACAGTTCATTGTCCCAAGATGATATATCGATAGAAATAAACTGTTTATAAATACATTTACTTACTGAAATCTCCTGTTAGGAAAACTTGCTCCGCTCCTGGTGCCCATTCTTTAATTGATACGGAATTATCTTCATTTAAATGGATGCCAAACTTCATATATGACTTTGAAAAAGAATCTAAATCTTTTTCTCCTGTTTCAATTTTTTCCAGGTAATCTTTAAATAAAGCGTATCTAAAAATATGTAAGTTAATGTATGAAAAGGTTCATCAATAAAAATGAAGATAAGGGGAAAACTGTTGAATTTTTTTATGGATTTTGATGTTTATGCATACAACATAACAAGCTTAGATCAATTAATATGAAGATATCTTGCACAATCCGAGAGTTAATCAGATTGAACTTTACTTACTTGCATAAAGAAAAATAAAATTATCATGTTGTGCATAAACGTTTGTCAGTGGTAGAAACAAGGTTACCGCAAAAATTGAATATATATTAGAATTAAGTGAATTACATGTACATTAAATAATGAAGTTAGGTGTATGAAACGTCGTATCGCAAACGAAAGAGTTTTTGCCTTTAACTTTACATAGTTGATAATCGTGTATTATGTTTGCATTATTCTAAACGATATCTTTGATTTTGGAATTGTCAATTACCATTTTGTTAGCGCATTTAGTCGTTCCCCTTTATATCTTCCACATCGCTTAATATCCACTTTTATATGTTTGAGGAGAGTCAAGAATATAGTATCGTACTTCAAGTCTAACAAAGACGCGTAAAGTAAGACAGTAGCAAATCAGGAAAAGTATACCGGGATAAATAAACAATCAAGAGCAACATACGTGCGTGACCATTAGAAAAGATCACATGATAGATTGTCTGCGCGTGCACGTCAAGATTAGAATTGTCTGTCGTGATTTTCTACGTTTTTACTTTTCTTGAATAAAAGCAGATATCAACGTAAGATCTTCGTTCTTACGTAGCAAATGATGATAATAGAGTACGGTTATTCTAACCTAAACATCGTTTACTAGATTATCATTTATCCCGAGATCGGTTGCGTTTAGCGGCTACATGGGTTTTATTACAATATGTTAGGTATTGAATGTCGCAATTCCGCTTCATAATATATCAGGATATTCCTAGTTATACTAAGTGTTTGGTATAAACAAATAAGAATCTGAATTATGAAATAGTTTATTCGACATATAACCTAAAAATAGTCCAATATATATAAATGATGTAACTATATTGAACCATTGTATATTTGAAATTTTACGAGTACTTATAACGGACCTCTTTTTTTAAATTATTTCATAGAGCTATTTTTAGAACTAGGCACGGAGTTGAGCTAATTATAAATTTTTTATTTTTCATCTAATTTTAATTTTAGTAAAGGTTATCATAAAATTAAATACCAACAAACTATTTACCCGGAAGGTAGTGTATTAAACTATCACGCTATGTTATTCAACTAGCGTGAATGTGTGTGTGTGTATGTGTATGTGTGTGTTACTCAATAAGCTGTATTATTTTGAAAGATCCGACATATAACTGAGATATTTGGCTACTTGCATTAAAATTAAAAGATACTATTATTACCATAACTGTGAAGAGGTAGGTAAAAAATCTTGCTAGTAGAAAATGATAATACGAAGCTACCTCTATTTTAATTAGCATCATATAAATAAGTTTTGCTATACAAAACATAGTAGCAGAATTAACTTAATTTCATGAGAAGAATCTCGCATTGAAGAATTTAATTCGAGATGTAAAGAAAAAGAAGTACTGCATCCACAGTAAGAAGCCAACTACATAAGAGTGATGATCTGTGTTCAGATTCCTCTGTATAATTAATATATAAAACTAGGCGCTGCAAAAAAAATCAATGTTCGTATACGGATCCATATGAGCTTTAGTCATATTATTTACTGAATGTTTGAAAATTCAACATGTTAAGAAGATGAATAGTAATACTTGCAGCACGTTATTGTAAGTCACGGATCCGGGAAATATGCGAGTCGTTATAGCGGTGCAGAATCACGCGCTGCTCAACTCGTGAGTTATTTGCGGTGTCAATTACCGCCTTTTTATATGCGTATGTAGATTCTCAAAATGAAATAAAAGTGCGTGTTTTTCTGGTCCTTTCAAGAGGCTCACGGTACTCTTCTTAGATAGGGCACATTCGTGCGCCGTGAATCCGCGACTATAAACATAATTCAGTTGTGGTTAGTCCCAGGCCAATATTTCAGCGTCGGTTTTACTCTAGCGATTAGCTGCACACATCAGTTACGAAAAGTGATGTAGTCGTGATTTTCGTTCTATTTACGTTTATTATTTAGTTTATTCATGTTAGTAGATATGATACATATGTTCTGGCTTACAAGTAATACTACCCAAGTTTTAATCGCCGATCATCCTGTAACTTTCAGATTACTTTTATCACATGTATACAAGATACTTTCAACAATTTTTAGCGGCCGGTTTCGCCTTGGATTCATAAAATAGTGATTTATTGTCTTAACCCATTAACGCTCAAAACCATCGATCTTACGCTATGTTATCGACAACGAAATTCATACATAGATCGAAGATACCGTAACTTATGTATTTGGGCGTTCTAAATATGAATCCGGAGTCAAAATTCAAAACTGTTGAATACAAAATTCAATATGTCGGTTTGTTTATAAAATAATGTTTATATAAAAATCTCCAAAAAACCTGTTTTTCTCATTATTGTTCTTTTTCTGAAAAACTATAAAGTTAAGCAAAAAGCTCCAAAGACAAAGATGTCTTATAATTCGTCAACGAACTCACTTGAAATTTTTTTTGAAAATTTTATATTTCACTGATAACGATGAACAAGTAAAATCTTCGTACCCATTTAATTTAATTAGTTGTTAACATTATCTTATTTCTATCTTTGCAACATGTCAAAAATAGAATATACAAATACAGTTTAAATTTATTGGTTTTCAAGTTTTGTTTAATCAATGAGATAAGCGGATTGAATATAATATTCTTATACATTTTTCCAATTATCTTACATAGGTCATTCAGCGTTTGAACCTTGAGGTGAGAAGATGTGTTAAAACTGCGCTCTACCGGAAAAGTCATAGTTATAGCAATACCATATCAAGTAAAGTGACAGTTAAATGTGAAACGCGTTTAAACAGAACGACAAAACAAGACGGCCGAAATGGCCACAAAAGTAAGTGATGATTCGTCATTCAACAATAAAAATAAACCTGGAGAATGGAAAATCGCTTCTAACAAAAGAAGTCTAAGCAGTCGAAGCAGTCCAGGCAATGAAACTCAAATTATTCAAACTATTAAACAAGCAAAATTAGACTACTGGGTAAGTAATGCAACAAATAGATTCGAAATACTACAATATAATAAAGAGAATATTCATAGTGAAGATGAAAAATCAGGAAGTAACGAAGCAAACAAAACGATAAACAAATCTCCCCCGATCTTTGTTTACAACGTAGAAGATATCCGACCATTAGAAAACACAATAGCCAAAAATAATTTTACACTAAAAGTAATAGGGCAAGATAAAATTAAAATTCAATCAACAACATCGGAAAAGTATCTCCCGATAATAAATGCGCTGAAAGAAAAAAAAATACAATTCTACATTTACTAGCGTAAAGAAGAAAAAAATTTCAAAGTAATATTAAGAAGCATGTATCCGTCAGTTGATACTGAAGAATTAAAAGCTGCCATAGAAAATCACGGACACAAAGTACTAAGTATTCATAACATAAGGCATCGCATCACAAAAGCACCACTACCGCTTTTCACAATTGAAATTGAATATGATTATAAAAGTCAGGACATCTGCAAAGTAACCAAACTTCTTCACACAGTAATGAAATTCGAACCACCAAACATAAAAAGAGAAATTCTTCAGTGTCAAAACTGCCAAGAGTACGGACATACGAAAAATTACTGTTTCAAAAGTGCAGTGTGTGTTAAATGTGCTGAATATCATCAAACTAAGAAGTGCCCAATCAAACATAAAATCAAAGATGTAATATGTGCAAACTGCAAAGGAAATCATAAAGCAAATTATAAAGGTTGCCCGGTAAGTAAGCAATTACAGCAAAATTTATTTCCCAAGTTGCATGAAAAAACATTTCAAAATAGCATACAAACACATATAATCACAAATGCAACTACAAATCCAAATGACAATAGAGTTAGACCGAACACAACATACACACAGGTAATAGCTAAACATAACGGTCAGAACGAAACAGAAACACCAAAACAAACAGCAGTACACACAGAACAAAACAATTGCAGCAATGATGAAAAGTCAATTAATAAACTTGAACAACAGATGGAAAAAATGACGCAAACAATGGACATATTGTTAAAATTAGGAACAACACTTATTAACAAATTAGTATAACCATGTCAAATCTAAAATTTGCTATCTGGAATGCAAATGGCCTTATAAGAGGACACCTCGAATTAAGAGCATTTTTAATACACGAAAATATTGATATTATGTTAGTTTCAGAAACACACTTTACCAGCAAAAATTTTCTACACATACCAAACTACTCAGTACACAAAACCAATACCCACTCGATAAAGCACATGGAGATACTGGGATTCTAATCAAAACAAATATAAATCACCACGTTCATAAACATACTAGTGAAATCTACCTTCAAGCAACTAGTATAATCATCAAAGATAAAGAGGGACCGATTACAATATCAGCTGTTTACTGTCCTCCAAACAAAACAATCACAAAGGAAAAATGGACAGAATTCTTCAAAACACTAGGAAACCGTTTAATAGCAGGAGGGGATTATAATGTGAAGAACCCGTGGTGGGGATCTAGATCAGAAACTCCAACACCCAGAGACAGAGTACTCTATGAAATTCTACAAAAAAATTAATTCACCCCGATATCCACCGGAGAACCAACATACTGGCCTACAGACTTAAAAAAGCTCCCGGACTTGATTGACTTTGCAATTGTAAAAGGGATAAGCAAAAATTATTTCGAAACGGCATCATGCCTAGATCTTACATCGGACCATTCGTCGGTAATAATTACTCTACACCATCAAGTACACAACAATGTAAACAAACACATAAAAGTAGACTGGAAAAAATATGCTCTTTCCATAGATGAACGCATTACATGTATATAGAAAGCTGTACAAATTCACTCAACGTACTTTTATCTAACACCATTAATG